AATCTAATGGTGACTGCTAAATCTTTATCTTACTCCATCCCAATACTGCATATAATAGAGACACTGTCTGATAATTCTTCTTCTTGCTCTCCTGGTTTTCTTCCCAGATCTATGTTTTTGGAATTTGCTCTAACATGTTACATCAGGGCATTTTCAGACCCCTTGTTTCACAATTCAATTTCAGCTATACTTTTGGTCTTAACTGCCTTCTCTTTAGCCAGTTTTCAACAGGGAAGAGAAGTCTATTCCCCTCTAGAATTGTACCAGAATCAGCTAGAAACTTCCAAGTACAGCCCCACCCCCCATTCTGATTCATACTAAGCTTAATTAGTAATTAGGCTTAGTATTTAGTACCTGTGAATTCACTGGGCAAGGAATACATCTATCTCACTACTTTCCCCAGGCTGAGCACAGTGCTCAAATATTTGATTTAAAAATGTAGGCCAACACAGACAACTTTTTGCAAATATGGAAATGTTTCATGAACATCCAATAAGGTCGCAATCAGCCACATGTAGCCACTGAGCACCTGAAGTGTGGTTAGTACAAGTTAGGAACTGAATTTGTAAGTTTAATTTACAATTATAAATACCACATGTGGCTAGTGGCTACTGTATAATAGTGCTGTTTTAGAAATGCTTCTGGCTTATACTGTCTTCTAGCCTGCCTTCGGGTTTTTTTTTTTTTTTTTTTTAATTTTTTTCTCTGTGGTCACAAGAGTCAAAAATTGGAAATAGCCTGACTCAACAAGGCTGGACACTGTTCCTAAACCTTTCACTACCAAAGAACATAAATACACTTTTTACAAATTCTGAAGTTGGGCTTCTTAATAATTTATTAATGATGTATTACTTAATGATTCATTCTGTAAATGTTGGTGCTCAGCCTTGACACTGACACTATTCCACTTAGTTAATGATCCAAAAAAGAAAATAAAGCATCCTACCATTTTCACAATATAGTAGGCCATGGCGTGTAAGTGTCGGGTGGAAGTTCCACTACCAATCACAAAGTAATCTGTATATCTCATTTCTGGAGGAACCTTGATCACACAAATGTCTCTTGCATTTTCTTGCCTCAGAAGTGAAACCAGCATATCGATGTCAAACTTGGGACCAGTATGATCTGAAAGGCACAAGTATTTGTTTGTGACATGTCCAAGTAGGAGAGAGACCTGTATGCACCTAGAGATGCAGATGCCTCCCAGAGGAGACTAAAACTGCTCCTCTAAGAGGATGTTAAGATTCAAAATGTTCTAAAAGATGGCAGGGCCTAGGCCTTCTGGAAGCTGAACCTGGGCAGTAGTTTCATATAGCATTGCTCAGCTTTCATGATTTGCTCAGATTACACACAGCCACTGTATTTCCTTTGCTAATACCACATGCAAAGTAGAACCATAAGTCAATGACAAATGATTTTCTAGTCACTATTACTAAAATGAGCAATACATCTCAAACACAGAAATGCTATTAAAGGGGCTGGGGTTGTGGCTCAGTAGTAGAGCACTTACTTAGCGCAGATAAAACACTGAGTTCCATCCTCACCACACAAAAAAATAATAAAGTAAAAAAAAAGAACAGATATAGAATATTTAAAAAAAGAAAGAAATGCTATAAAAAATCAGTAGCACAATTTGGGAAGGAGGTGATATTCTGGGGCATATTAAATCAAATCCCTGCCATAAAGGTTTATAAAACCAGAATTATCAGCCGGAAGGGATCTCAAATAGTCACAGCCTTCAAGTGAGATGAAGACACAGGCCCTAGTGGAACTAGTGTGGGCTATGATCAATCAGTAAAGTGATTCTCAGTTTGAACCATCATGTTTTTCCTCATAAAGCAATTTGGGTTATTAGCAATTTTTACCTATGAAAATCTTTTTTTATGTAGAGATTTCAACACTCACTTCTTTAGCTTGGAGTATTACTAGAACCTATAATTTTACAGCTCACCTAAGTGCTAAAGCTGACTCCAAAGGACCTAGTAGCTCAATTCATCAAGAGTTCGCCCTCTAATAGTCTACAATATCTTTTTTTTTAATAAACTTTTTTTTTTTTTTTGGTACCCGGGATTGAATCCAGGGTTCTTAACTACCAAGCCACATTCCTAGTCCTTTTTAAAAATTTTAAAAATTGTTTGAGACAGGATCTTCCTAAGTTGCTGAGGCTGGCTTTGAATTTGAGATCTTCTTGCCTCAGCCTCCCTGAGTCGCTAGGATTACAGGCTGGCGCCACCGTGCACGGCTATTACTTCTTGGATATAACCTGTTTACCATTTCTCAAGTTTCTAAAAACATTTGCAATAATTACAGTATTTAACTGGGATTCACCTTATTGGCGCTTCTCACGCATACCTTGGCCCCCGCCCCTGGCTCTTCCTAAGAATCTCACATCTCATTTCCCAGGACCTAAGGTCGAGAGTGAAGGGAGGGGAGTACGGCGACGTTTTGATGCCAAGGGTCCGGTGTGGCCATGCCACGGTTGATGCTTTTAAGACTACAGCTCATCTTCTGGCCTGTTTCTTCAATGTGAAACAGGAAGGCTGGCGGCAGCAACCTTTGACGAACCTTCTTGTTCTGGGTCTGTAGTTACGTGACTCGTTAACAGAAATACATAAAGCAGGAAACCCACGACCTCCTCCGTCAGGACTTGGCTCCCAGCTACCCAGAGAGAGGTTCCCTCCACCCCGTACCTGAAACGTCCAGCTCTGGGAATCCCTCGCCGGGTGTCCGCTCCTCCTGCTGAGGCCCATTGTGCAGGCCACGCACAAGGCCCGGGATCAGGTTAGCCCGGCAGAGCGCTGGTCCCGCGGGAAGCCGCCGCACAGCCAGCAGCTGCAGCCGGGGTCCCACAACCGCAGCCGGTAGTGGTGCACGCCGCGAGACATCCCGGAGCCTCAGGAGCCGCCCGAGACGCCGCGCCGCACAAACGCCGAACTCCATCGCCGTCGCAGCGCGTCACGCCGCGGGGCGGGGCTTCCACGGAGCCCGAGCAGGTTCTGCATCTTTCGATTGGCCCAGTCAATCCGGCAAGGCCTGGAATTTCTGCGTCTGATACACGGGCGGAGCCGGGGCCGTGGGCGGAGCCGGGGCCGTGGGCGGAGCCGGGGCCGTGGGCGGAGCCCCGAGCCAGGGCAGCACTGCAGTGACCCTGAAGGACTGACTAACTTGGGAGTAGGTTTCCTAGGGAGTTAATGGTTGGTTAGTGACAGCTGACCTTGAGTTTTCTCTCTCATCTTGTGTCTCTTCTTTGTCCCGTACTACTTAAGGCAAATTAAGACATAAATTTTCTGATGCTGGGGTGTAGCTCAGTGGCAGAGCTCTTGTCTAGCATATGGAGGCTATGGGTTTAATCCCAGACACTCCCCGCCCCCCCCCCGCCACTCAAAACAACGTAATTTTTACCCTCTCCCATTTCCAAATAACATTCAATATTCCTTTGAAAATCTGAAATCCCATGAGGAAAATCTAATATCCTGGATAATGTGGGGTAGAAGGCAGAGGTGTAAAGTACCGTATGGGAAAAGTTCGTAAGTCAACTGTTCATCTATACCCTTGAATGGAAGAGTTTCCGCCAGTGGAATCACCGCGAGAATGAGGAACACTGACATGACATGACTAGCGTCACATACTTAATGGCCAAGCTGAAACTGGAAGTAGGGTGTCTGGAAGGAAAAAAAAAAAAAAAAGTGACTTCCTGAAAGGAAGTTTCCTAGAGAGTACAGTGAAAGTAGGCAAATATCCCCATTGCCTGGAACTTGTTGCCATGGGACTGTAATAGTGCCTGAGGAGGAAACAGGCTAAGCTATGACACTGGCTGCTCTAGAAATATTCGAATTCAAATTGGAAGGAAAATAGCCAGTTTTGAGGGAAAGAGAAGAAACTTCTTTCAAAAATTCTACTTTCAAAATCCCTGAAATTAAGTAGAACTTTTAAAGAAGAAAAGGCAGGGAAGTGACAAAAGGTAGAAAATGTGCAATGCAGATTTATTTAGCCCATGTTAGGACTAAGTGGACACAGGTTCCCATTCCCATCTTCTTTGGTGCTTGTCAGGGTTGGGGCAGCCCCCTCTCCCGCCCCCCTCCACTCAGCATGAGGAAGCCATTCCCAATTTCAAATAGGGATGGGGCACAAATTCAGTCTGTTTCAAACTCTGCCAAGCACATTGTAGGTATTCCAAAAATGTCCAATACATTATTGAATTTCTTTAAAAAAAAAACTCCAAACACTAATTCAATAGAAATATTCATAAAATACAGAAACTAATATAAGCACCTGTGTGGCCAACTCAAATATTTTCAATCACTTGAAGTTATTTTTGAAAGTAAGAAAAAGTATTACAAATAAAGTTATGTCTCCTCTGTCCTCCCAGAGGAGACATAACTCCCTCTCAGTCCCACTGTCTTCAATTCCATTTCCCACAGGCATGAATCTGATGTTTCTCCCAGTTTTTTGCCCTCTGTTCCATGATCTCACCCTTGTTTCTGATCATCCCAAACCTGCTTCACCACCTGTATTTGCCATCAAAGATTATTGTATATACCATAGTACTTGCATGAGGAAATTAGAATAGTCATGCATGACTTAATGATGGGGATATGTTCTGGAAAATGCATCATCAGACAATTTCACTATGCAAATGTCATACTTGCACAAATTAAGATGGCTAAGGCATGAGGAAATATAATCTTATGAGACCACTATTGTATATGCAGTCAGTCATTCACTGAAGTATTGTTATAAGATGCATGACTATATATTATGTCTACAAATTGGCCTCATGGGAAGGAAACGCCTTGTACTCATTCTGATAAAACCCATTTGAAAAATACCATCAGGCACACACGTGTGGTTGAAATTAGCCAAGGAGGCTGCACCTAAGAGAGGGTGGGTTGCATGGGAAGTTATATGTATGTATGATAAGTCAGAATGCATTCTACTGTCATGTATAACTAAAAAGAACAAATAAAAGTTAATTTTTTAATTGAAAAAAAAAAAGGTGGGTTGCATTTCAGTAGAGGGAAGAGAAAGGTCTTGGCTTAAGGCTTGTGCTTGTGTCCCATGAGTCTAAGAGACCAAAGAAGAGACCAGGAGAAATGGGGTCAGTGCTATCTAGAAATAGATAGTTTAGCAATTGCATATCTCAATGATCTTGTTCAAGAGACAGGAGAATGTTCCTGGAACTGAGGATGTCATGGTTAATCACTTACAAGGGTTGTGTTGTCTGGAAAAAATCAGGTCCTGTTAGAAACATTCTTCTAGGCTTCACTAGGAATATCACATTCTGGTTACTATCAAGGCTGAGAAGCAGTCTCAGGGCCCTTAGAAATCTACATGTTAAGATAAACGTGGACTTTTATACCTGGGAGAGGAGGGATACCTGTGAAAGTAAAAGGAAAATTAAAACAAAAGCGACATTAAAAGAGCTTTTTCTGAATGGAATCAGGAGGCTTTCAGGGAGGCAGGACTTATGATGCATGATTCAAGCTGCCGCCTAGAAACATGAACTTTGGTCACCTCCACCCTTTGAGTGTAGACATCTGGAATAGATAATTTCATTGTGCCCCAAGACTACACATGTATTTCAAGAGACTATTAGATTTTTGTTTTATGGACATTTTATGAAGCACACGCATTCTTTTTCTTATCTTCTATCAGTCACACAGCCCATGTTCTCAACTCTAACAGAATTCTTCCTAAAAAAGAATTTTTATTGCCTTGTAATAACAGTTTGCTTGTATAAGTTTCCATCTTCCCTGCTGTCACAAGCGGCACTATTAATAATTACTCAGAGGTGAATTGTCTTTAAATGCACACGCATATTCCATCACACCAATTATTAAATATAAACAATTAATGCAACCTAGGGCAACCACAAGCCCCCAAATACCTCCAACACCATGAGATTTCTCTTAGCCAAAGAGCAGACATTGTCCTTGTCTTGTGGTTCTCTCCAGTTGACGGCTGGACCTCAGGGAATGGTGGAGTCAGTCCAGGGATGGTCAGCAAGGAGGCTAGTGTCACTGATGTCCTTGGAACAAAACTCTTCAATGTGGCAGGACCAGTAATTTAAATACAGTTCCAAGTTGGTGGTGTATGTGGGTGATTGGTTACACCCAGTGAAAGTCAATGTCCATTGAGGTGTCCAGTGAGGTGATGTAATTGCAGCTGAGCATGTTCTTTGTGCACGTCCATGGAGCTGTGCTCCCTATCAATTGTAACCAGTCATTGCTTAGCATTCCTATGGCTAGTGCCCCCTTACAGTTCTTTATCAATTGCAAGCAGACATGACTAAGCAGTTCAATGGCTGCTGTTCCTATGTCCAGCAAGTTAGTGAGTCCCAGCATGTCCCAGCATGTCTATGGCAGATGCTCCTTACACCTGACTTCTTTGGAAAAATGATTCAGAACTCTATGGACCTATGTCTCCTGAACTGCAATTTCTAAAACCACAAGTAACATTCTTTTACATCCATAGTTTCTTAGTTTCATTTGACTGACATGGCGAAGCTGTGTCTATATGCAAAGTGACACCCGTGCCTAATAATCTGCAGGTGAGACTGTGATATTCAGGGATGCCATTCCAGACAGCAGTGTTTTATCATCTATAATTTCAGAGACTATGGTGCCAGCACTGTATCCTTAATGTCAATTACCAAAAGCTTGTTTTTACAAGTCATACTTCTTACCTGAGGTAAAAAATAGCTATTATCTGTAAGAGATGTCCTCAGAAATGTAAATACCTAACTCCTTGAAAATTGGACCATCTATTGTTGGACTTTGTTTTCAGATCTTGTTACTTTTTAAAGTTAAAATAGAAGGGGGTGGTAGTTTAATGATCTTTACCTTTGGAGGACTAAGACTCAGGAAGGATTGAGGCCCACATCAGCTTTCTGAAGGAGTCAGAAATTATAAATTAACCAGGTTCGTGACTCCACGGGCTTCCTTATTATAAACACTAATTACATTCCTGATGCCAGGAGCCTCCTATGTGTTCTGTTGGCAGTGAGGCCAAAAGGCTCCCAAATTTGTTTCCTGGGCTTTGTAGGAAGTTGTAGTCACAGAGACTTTTTCTCACAGAGCCCTGCTTCAAAAAAATAAAATAGACAAGCAGGAAGCAAACTGGTCCAGAAAAAAAGACACAGGGGCTGAAGTAGAGAAAAACTGAGCAATTTTCTTGAATTTACCCTCATCTGGACCACAAGGCCCAATAACACAATGTCCGGCACATCATTGTGTTATAGGTGAATGACTGAATTCATGTAGTTTTGGGACTGGGAAGTTTATCAAGTCTAACCTTTGCTTACTCCCCACATGCATTTATTATGCACCTGTATTTCCTAATCTGTGGACCATGAACCTCCTTTTGACGACAAAGGATCCTCAAACCCACAGATGCATCAAACATTGTCTTTGGAGGGAGTAAACATGTTTCCTAAGCAAATGGAGGTAGAATGCCACAGTCTGGCTGGGAACAATTCAGGAGCCACTTGTCAAACAGAAAGGAACTTTATTTTTAGAACACACACCCACCACACAAGCTCTTCAGGAATTCCCTCAGAGCCCAACCGCCACCACCGGCTTCAGGGAAGCCTCTCAACCCCCACTCCTCCTGCTCTTGAGGCCAATTGGCTGGGTCATGTGGGCAGAGCCAAAAGATTCCCCCAATGAGCAGCTCTGTGGTCTGAAAGGGCGGGGAAACAGCCCAATGAGCATCACCACAGAGGAGCCAATCAGCTGGCAGCTGGAAGTTTGCTGGGGCCCCTTCGGCTATGGCTCTCAATAGTAGATACTATTGGAATTCAATGAAAGGTTATTTAAAAGTATTGCTTAGTTCAAATCAGCTTTTTGTCATGTGTCTATTCAATGATTAATATGTAAAGAGCCACAATTTTTTGAACAAAAAGTCATTATAATAAAAAAGGTTGGGACTGCTACTCCACGGTCTGGGCAACCTTTTCCAACCTCACAGGGCAGCCCATGACACCACTAGGCAGTTGGTGAATATTCCTGTCATTTAAATTGAATCATTTCTCCTGGATTTCCCCTCTCTGTGTACCATTTCTTCTCTTCAGAGAATGGCTGAGGCTTTGAAGGGCTAGGATTAAAATGACCTCTCTTATAAATTACATACATTGTAAATACTGTGAATTCACATTTTATATTTCTATTTAAAAATTATTTTGTCACCCACTTTGTAAATCTAAATGGAAATGGTATAAAATCCTTTTAAAGAGATTTTATAAAATCCTTTTAAAGAGATTGGGTACCGCACTGTCTGTCTGCACTCCAGGCTCCCAGGGTAGGAGATCTGAGGTGTCTGCTCGGATATTTTGTGCTGGTTTGCCAGCCTTGTCCTGTGTGCTGCAAGGACAGGGAGTCTGGCCCAGGTGGACACTGAGTCCTGCATTAAGATGAATGTCGGCTTCTCAGGAAGTACCATGCCTGTTACTTGAGGGTGAGATACAAATGTAGATATATGCAAAGAACACCGAGTCTCTTTAGGAAAAATATTCCTGTTAAAATATAGAACAAACAACTTGTGAACTGTACAAAGAATCTCAAAGGACAGAAAAGGGCCAAAATGTAAGGACATATTACACAGTTCATAAAATGACTCTCTGTCACTTTCTAGTTCCCTATAAGTTTTCTGGAATGTTGCAAAACAGGAACAAGACCTCAATAGAAAGAGACAGGTAACCTCAGGAGGCGAGAGCTAACATCTGGTCAAACCATTTGTGTGATCTTGTCCGATCACACAAATCACCTCCACCAACCACCAGAGATCTTAACGTAAGCTGAAACCTACATACCAGACCAGACCTCCTAATGGGGATACACGACCTTGCTCAATATTTCCCAGCCATGAGAAAAGTCCAGCCCTTTTGGATCATACATATTCCACTTCATTGTATGCCCTAATAAAAACTCAACATTAAACCATGGGGGTGCATCTCAATTTGAGGGAGTGAGTTACTGGGGATTGAACCCCAGGGTACTCTATCACTGAGCTACATGTCCAGCCCTTTTTATTTATTTTTTATTTGAGACAAGGTCTTGCTAAGTTGTCCACGCTGGCCTCCTGCCTCAGTCTTCTGAGTAGCTGGGATAACAGATATGCATCACCAGAGGGGCTTGCCTTTCACTTTCTAAGAAAGCTCTTCCTCTCTGTTGAAACCTGACCCATCCTTAAAATCTGTTCTGTCACACAGTCAAGAACCTAGAAGGACTGAGTCGAGGCAGCTTCCAGACCTCCTTGGATTCCCTCATGACGACAAGGGCATCTCGAAACCTCACACAGAAGATTCCTACCAGAGGAGGCACCTCTTCTACCATTTCTCCACATTCTTATTTGTTGGCACAAAGTGCTGCCTCTGACCTCTCTCAGTTGTGTTGGTCGGCACTGTTTTCTCATCTTTCAAAGTCACTGTTTGCTCGGAAGTTGGGCCTCTGAACACTCACCTGTCCCCTTGGATTATTGATCTCTGTCTGCAGCCAGGAGATTGCTTCTCTCATAGTCTACAGGAATGGCTAGAAAGCTGCAGACCTACCAGGCCGACTTGTACCTCATCCTTGCAATGAAACTGCATTTTCTCCTCCCACTGAGGAACAGTTTTTTGTAAGAGCAGTTTGTATATAGTTTGCAGAGAGTGGGTCACTCTGAGTAGACCTGTAATTCACCCCTCCTTACAAACCGTCCCCAAGGCTGGAGCCAACAAACATTCCTGAACCAGGCACTGGGCTAGGACAGAGAGGGGAAAGAGAATGAAATACAGGTCTTGCCTCCTAGGAGCTTCCAGACTGTAGGAGAGGTCTAGATTAGAGCTGGGGTTGTGGTTTAGCGGTAGAGTGCTTGCCTAGCATGTGTGAGGCACTGGGTTCAATCCTCAGCACCACATAAAAATAGCACCACAATAAATAAATAAATTAAATAAAGGTATAGTGTCTATCTACAACTAAAAATAATAAAAAAAGATTAGAGTACATGTCATCAATACTTGTATTTGAAGAGGAGATACAAAATGTTGCAGGGCACAGCAGCAGTTCTGCCAGAGCTGGGGTAGCCTCCACCAGGAGGCAATATTTGAACAGGTGTGGGGCCTCAAGCAGAGAAAAGGAGAGGGCTTCTGCTGGGCCCCACTTCATTTGACTTCAGGGGTCCACTCACATTGAACTCCAGAGGATGACAGTCTCTAAGGGAATGTGATTGGAAGGCTTGTGGAGTGATGTTCCAGGTCAGCAGAATACCATGGATGTCAACTCAGAGAATCCTCTGGGATTTTACATCTTTATCTATGTGGCCTGTGGAATGTTTTGTCCCTGGTATTAAATCGTGAACTGTGGTATTAAATAACGATTCAGAAACATTGTTGCCTCCTGACTCAAAAACCCAATCAGTGTCCCTGCCGCATCACCACATGAGATAAGACCTTGGGAGACTGAGGCAGGAAGATCACTTGAGCCTATGAGTTAGAGACCAGCCTGGGAAAATCCCCCTCCCCTCCTGTATTGGATGCATAGCTTTACCCTTATGACCTCATTTAACTTTAATTTCCTCTTTATCGGCTCTACCTACAAATTCAGTCACATTAGAGAATAAAACTTCAACATGTAAATTGGGGGAGGGGACAACTGGGGGGCAGTATTGGGGGATTGAACTCTGGGTTTCACGCAGACTCAGCAGGCACTCTACCACGGAATTATACCCCCAGCCCCCAGTTCATATGATTTCTAAATTTTTAAAATTTTTGCAGTGCTGAAGATTGAATTCAGGGGCTTGTACATGCTAGGCAAGTGCTCTTATCACTGAGCTACATCCCCAAACTGTGATGATTAGGTTTATGACAATTGTCTCTGTCTGATGCTCCTACATTTATGATGGGGATACATGCTTGTAAACCCACTATAAATTGAAAATATGGTAAATTGAAAATGCATTCAGGTCAGGCACAGTGGCATATGCCTGTAATTCCAGCAATTCAGGAGGCTGAGGCAGGAGGAATGCAAATTCAAGGTCAGCCTTTGCAATTTAGAGAGACTCTGACTCAAAATAAGAAATAAAAAGGGGTTGGGAAAGTTCTTTGGTGGTGAAGTGCCCCTGGGTGGAAGGAAGGAAGGAAGGAAGGAAATGCCTTCAGTACATCTAACCTAGTGAATACTGAACATCCTAGCTTAGCAACACTGTATTGCAGAG